TTATATCATCCCATAATTGTTTTGAAAACATACACATAATGATTTTTTTCTTTTAATCAATGCATAATTAAAACATTATATATTTTCTATTTGGAGGAAAGATCTTCAAACAAACAACCTCATAATTTTGGAGAAAAATTCTTTTCTCAATATAATGCTTTCAAAGTCTTTTGTTCATAAAAATCTGTATTTTATTCCTTTGTATATTTCAAGATATAAAATAATATCCATAGTGTGTAATAATAATTTACACAATCTTTTTGAAATACTCACTTTTTCTTGTAGAAAATTTTATAATGACATTTGGTAAACAAACAAATTCTTCAAAACATTTTTTATGTAATTCTTTACAAGAATTTAAATATATCAATTGCTAAAATCAACAAGTATATATACTTTTGTATAACCAACTTTCATTTGTAAAATATGTTACAATTCGTTTTTTTGTTGTTGTTAGTAATCTCTAACTTCTACCAATGACAATATACTCTAGATATTAAAAAAACACATTATCAAATGGAGCTAAGATGAAGTGGAGGATGCGGACACAGAATTTTGAAAACAGTTTAGTCAAATGGTACAAAGACCGATTTTAAAACCATTTGCTCCGATACTAAATTGTAACACCCTAATCCATCCAGCCTCTTTCGGACTAAAGTATTAACTTGGTAACGTAAAAATTTCAAACATTTAAAAACCTTTATTTTAAACAATTGTATAAAATATTTCATAATTACATCAGAGTAAAATTACTTAAAATAGTGCGGATGAAATTTGTAAATTAAACTAAAAAAGTATTGTCAAGCCATGTGATAAAATCATGTCCATGCATCACCTCCATCTCGGTATTTTCCAGAATAACCTCCACATTTATTTCTCTCATACCTACGTGTAGAAAGATAAAAAAATCTACATGCTCACCAATGAAACTGAGTGGTATCATGACACAACAAAAGAATTCATAGAATAATTTCTTAAATAGTACCAATCACATGTATATATGTTCAAATATTTGCTTTTCATTTTTAGATCTGTCTTTATTATTTTAACAATGATAATTAACAATATCATTCAAACTTATATAGGAATCAGTCCATATTTCACAATAATCACATGTCATTTTTATTATCACAATATTCATAATTTGTCACACATAATTTCATATCAAGTTTTATAAAAAATAATTGCTCTTAACTGATTCTAAGCCAAGACCAAATCATAACAATGATCTTAAACTATTCTCAATCTAAGGCGAATTTAATTCTAAAACTAATTCTAGTTTAAGGTACTCTTACCCAACCCTTATGCTAGGCCTAGTTTAAGATAGAGATTTTCAAAAGAGGTTTTCAAAATCTTAAACATACATTCGCTTAAGGTCAACCAGAAACCGAACAACGGAATGTTTACTGTCCGGTGGGTGGTACCCCCAAACGAGTAGGTACTTGGATCCCGTACGAACGTTTTGTGCTTGGATCCCGTACGAACGAGTATGTACTTGGTTTGTGCTTGGATCCCGTACGAATGTTTTAACTCTGGCCACCAGGCATCATACTCGCAAGGCCTAACTAAACGGGTATATCTTAGAGTTCTTCTAGATACCCTTTAAAATCAATATACTAATTTGGTCATATGGGTATATCTTAGAGTTCTTATAGATACCCTTCAAATTCAATATCAATATGAGTACGTATATCTTAGAATTATTGTAGGTACTCTTAACAAAATATAATATATTTATAATTATCAATATATTAATTTCTAAACATGGTTAAATCATTCATAATCATCATTTTAATTAGAATATTCATCAAGGTTGGATCAAAATCAACATTTAACAATCATTATCATAATATCTAATAACAAGTAACATCCTAGTATCGAGTGTTAACAGTCTAGCTTACCATCATATATTACATAGGATTTTTGAATTTATCGATACATCATATTTATTTCTAGAAATCAGTTTCATATTGATCATAATTGATTGGTATCAAAAACAGGATTTTATAGCTTCAGAAATAGCATTTTTGGACTTAAAATATTCGTAAGGGTTGACCGTTGGGTTCGAACGATCGACCTTATCGTTTTAGAAAAATTCTCGTCGTATGGTACATGGGGACACTACCTAGGTACCGTGACACGGTACCCTTTTAATGGTATGTAGCTACCCTGTACGCGCAAGAGAGACGTCGTCACTATTCATCATCTTCAACCTTCGATCAAATTTCTCAAAACACCATTTAAGCTTATAAGCTTTAAACTGACTTCATAAAAATGTTTTCTTTTATCCATAGACCATTCACAAACAACTAATTTATTTGAAGCTTTAACAACAAAATAATTTTGGTGATTGTGAATATTAAAATATTTATATTTTCAAATATATATGGATCAATAAATTCAAGGATCATTCCAATGCCTTCTAAAGTTAGTTAAAATCATGGTACAGACCTGTAAATCAAAGTCATGAACCTCAATGAATGAACGTGAGCGAAAACAACGTTAGAAATCTCAAAACTCGTCACTTCCCATCACCATTGTACCAGCCCTGGGTTTCAGGTCATATCTCCTTCGTTACTCAACGAAATCGCAAATCGTTTGAATCTACGAATTCATAAGACACAAGGATACAACTTTTGTTTAGAAAATAGATTGAAATAACGATGTTTAGAGGGTGTAAAAATGCTCACAAGTGGGCTGATTTGCATAGTGGGTGTTTTCTTCATTCCACTTTCTGGGGCAACTTCCGGCAAGAATCGTGGCTACCTCTGGTGACTTCGTTGGTGGCGATCACTTGCATTCTGCTCTCCTCACAACAAGGAATAGAATGGAGGAAGAATAGGAGAGAATGGTGTAGAATTAAAAGAGTTAAGTGCCTCTTTATATAGGGTGATGGAAGAGGGAAGAAGCCAAAAATCCTTAAATACGGCAGTAGTGGAGGCAATGGGATTATATATGATTCTCTTCTCACTTCAACAAATTTTATCCCATTTGGGGTACAATTTTTAATCCAACTTTCTCCAAATTAAAATCTGATTGCTCCGTTTCGATGAGACAGTCAAGCTCTACGCAATGATATAATTTTCATATTTTTCTGAAATACTTTTTCTGACACCATATTTTTGGTTGTTGACTTTGACATAGTCAAAATTGAATTAATTGATATGTAATTAAAAGTACTCTCATATTCCATAAATATTATCCAATTTAAATAATTTATTCAAATAATTTATTTCAATAAATCATTTTACAAAAGTTCACATCTTTAACCACTTTTCATTTTTATGCAAATTACATATTTTACATGTCACAACTCAAAATATGTACATTAGATTTATTCATAAAATATACTGTTGGATTCGTCTCTTCGAGACCTATCCATAAACCTCAATTTTAACAAAAAAATCATTGATTCCAAAAATTTCTTCATTTTTGGTCAAACATTGTAACACCCCAACTCGCATAACCCGAATAAATAGATTAGCGAACCGGGTTGCTACTAAATTGGTATCAACATACAATATTTCTCAATAAATAAAAACATTTAATTTAAAAACTAAAACAATTCAAACCATTTAATTTACATGTTGGAGTTTATACAAACAGTGCGGAAGCCTTGTAATTAAATCAATCATTATTAAGTCCCTGCATCCATACATCTCCCTCATCATGCTGCCCTCCAGGACATATTTCAATGTAAACCCCTCCATGATTACCTACGTGTAAGGGGAAAAAGAGGCTACACGCTCAGCAACGAAGCTGAGTGACTAATATCTAACAGTTCGAACATACACATATGCGAACCCACTAATTCATAATCATAACATTATATCATGCACATAGGTTTAATATCATGCAGTTCACATAAACAATTCATCATATAATTTACCTGGTACCTGCCCTTTCCATTCTCATCACAACGGAGTGTATCTTGCAATAGTGGATCACCATTCATCTGTGCTTAAACTCTACACTAAACTAAGGAATTACTTCTTTTCTGGGAGTCATGATTGTTCCCACTGGATCAGCGGATCATGCTCAACCAACGAGGGAGTTCTCACGATTGGTGGATCACCAAGCCCTGTCCCTATAACTTATACTAGTCTAAGGACTATAACTTGCTGTATGGGAGACATGATGGTTCCCACTGGATCAGCGGGTCATGCTCGACCAACGAAGGAGTTCTCTGTTGGGTGGGTGGAATCCCCACCTAATGGATCACCAGGCAGTTCAAGGATACCCGTACGTACGTTTTTACCCGGTTCGGCTTAACCATTGGAGCCCAGCAGGCATCCACCTGGTTTACACTCTTAATTTCCTATATTTATGTCAGTCCCAAAGTTTCCCTATGGGTAGACTTACCTTAAGAAACACGTTGGATCAACACGCGGTACTTGTTTGCTGTGTGCTGGATCAGCCCACTCATACTTGCAATATCATATCCAAACATATGCATTTCACATAATCACACACATGTGTTGGATCACCATAATAATATTAGTTCACATAAGTGTTGGATCAACACAGAGCAATCACAATCATAACACATAGCGGCCTAGAATTGGGTATTGATACCCAAACTTACCATCATACAACACATAAGGTCTCGGAATCAATCCTTGACGGAAACACATATCGGCAGACCCAACCTCAGGTACCAGACAGTACCCTTCACGGTACAGGGTACCGTCCTCACGGTACCTGGGTACCGGTCCTACGGTTCCGAGGTACCGACCGAACCATCTAGCTCTTCTGGTAGGGCTGTCACGGTAGCCGACTACCGACTGAGCAGTAGGGCCTACCGTCCGTCCGGTACCTAGGTACCGAACGGTCACAGCTACTGGCAGAGAGAGAACGTAGCATACAGAGCGTGACGGTAGCACGGTACCGTCCAGGCGGTACCGCCTATCGTCTGACACAACCAATTCCAGCTTTTTACCTGTTTCATTTTCCAGCATCAAACCAACAGAAATCTCATAGCAATAAACACCAATGAGTTCATATTACCATTCTAATTATTATCAAGCACATTATTTCATCAATCGGCATCTAGATCATGCATACTACCCTTTTCAATTGGCATAGTCCCCGAAACCACCATCAAATAGTTCAGTCACGTAATTCACGCAGATCAACCATGATAATAACTATGAACGGAATTTCAAACATATATGCATATTCTAGTGTTAGATGTCCACATACTAACCTCGTTGGTTCGATTCATTTGAAGGAAATGTCACCCGGTGCTGGTCACCCAAATTGGTCGTCGACACTGGCGCTGTTGGTCAAGGTCTAAACCTGCCAGTCGCTGGAGGTCACTCGCCAGAGAAACACCATGACTGGAAGTTGTTCGCCGGAACAGAGGCCCGCCCGCTGCTGACCCACCGTCGCCGGAACGGAGGTCGCTGGACAGGGGTCTCCAGCGAAATTCGTCGATGGTCTAGTGTGGTCCTTCACCAGCGTCGCCGCCGGAACTTGCCGTTGGATTGAGCGATGTGGCGTCGCTGATTTGCTGGAGAAGAATTTGTTGGTCTCCACCTCGCCGCTGCTGAGGTCGTTAGATTCCGGTCGCAACTCTGCTCCGGACATCCTTGTCGAAGGGTTGTCGCCGCTGGTTTGGCCCGTCACCGCCGTTGTTCGACGACTCTCAATCGAAGAAGACCAAGGGCGGCGTTGCTTCTGCTGTCGCTGATTTGAAGAAGAAGACCAAGGAACGGTGTTGTGGATCAAAGTAGGAAGATGCCGCGTAGGAGGAAAATATCTATGTATTTACCTAGGGTTTGGGTTTTGTGCTCCGTAATTTAAAATAACGTGTCTGAGTGAAACACACTTTTCGGGCCAACTTGTTCCAAATTGAGATCCGTTCGCATCATTGGATTCGCTTTGTTGATCCTTACCCAACGGTATAACTTTTATGATCAGACGACAATCATTTATTAGTTCCACGTGGTCCGTCTTAATATTTTTGATTAATTAATACTGATCAGTCTTTTACTTTAAACCTTTACAATTATAATCACATTAGCTTCGTTAAACTGAGACAATTAGAATCCTTAAAATATCCTTAAATTCTTCAAAAGAATAGATTGTCGTAAATAAATAATTCTTATTTATTTATTTATTGATTAACTTCTAGCCCGGTTTCTAGGGCGTTACATTTCTTCCCCCCTTAAAGGAATTTCGTCCTCGCAATTCTTCTAAGGTATAGGGTTCAATAAGTTGTTTTCACATTTGCATTACGAACATGGTTAGGTGAATGGCCACGCCATTCCCTTGGAATTCTCTTCGTTAATCATTCGAGGTATTATCTTAAGAGGTTTGTATTCGTGTTTCGTTCAAGACATACGACAAGTTCGTCGAGTTCATAATTTGGTCTTTCTCAAGTTTGTCTTCAACAGATATATATGGATTACCTCCATAGCACGTTCAAACAATACTTAAGCTTTCAAATATCGTAGCATCAGTTATTTGATCAGTCATTCAGTTCGTATTTGAAGTTCATTTGTGTCGTTAGCTAATGACGACAGCATAAGATTTTTCTCAAGATTCCTCATTGATTAGCAGGATTGTTTTGTAACGTTCACACTTCCGTGTGGTCGACAATGGAGTTTAGGAAATTGTTTCACCATTAGGTTGTTTCATAAGTCTGTCTCGAGTTGTTTTGTTCTCTATCGCACTATCACATCACGATTCATGTAGCATATCGTCATGGTCAGTTTTACGGCGTTGTCACTTCCTACTTGAGTTGTTCTCGAGAGAAGTGAACTCTCGGTGCTTAGTATTAGTGGATTACTATTCGATTATTATTCATGTTCGACAATTTTTTTTTTGCTTCATTAGCGTATTTGTTCGTTTTGTTTGAAACTATAGCAATTAGCTCGATTGTCTATTATCAACGTCTCTCTTTCTGAGCTGAAAGAAGATTCTTCAACCTGTGGTTACGTCCACGATTTATTTTTTTTTTTGCAGTGTCGAGGTACTTAGAATTTACGATTTTTTTTTGTTTTAGGACTTCGGTTAATAGAAAATTTCACTAGTTTACTCATAACGATATTCATCACTAATTCTTCGTGCGATCCGTTCAAGGTGATCTGAATACTTCAGGTGTCGAGATACAACATCGTCTTCTCGTTCATAGGTACACGTGTCTTCGTTACTGATAGAGTAAGAGTCTTTATCGTTCGAATCTTCAGCAAGATTTCCAAGAATTGTATCGACGTTGAAACAGGTTCAGTAGGATCACGAAGGTTTCATAAATGCATCTATCTTGAGTACGTTCTTCAATACGGTTTAGTCAACAGTTTTACAGAGTACAAGTTTAAAAGTAGAAGTCATCATTATTACATAGAATTCTTGCCACACAAGACATACCTATCACCACAGGTACGTCATCGCTGAATCTTGGGAAGAGGTTTTGACAATTCATTATGGATATACAATGGCAAATCTCATTTAGAAGTTTCACCTTCGTCAATGGGTCAAAGTGGAGAATAAACAATGTGGTCAACATACAGATGTAGATTACCGAAAAACTTAACAGTTCGGGAATATTAGTTGTTTGTTAGTCACGATATTCAAACTCGGTGTTCGTACAATCAGACACATTCGGCAAGGTGTTTCAAGAACTACTTCCTACGGGTCATTAATTTTTAATGCATTTCTCGAGCAAGTCTTTTGAAAACCCTTCATTATACGGTCTACATACGTTCGTGATTAAGTTCGAGAGATATCACACACTAAAAAGTTAGTTGTCGGCTCATTCCTTGCGAAACAAGTTCTGTCCTGATTCATCCCTCATCAGCAAGTTTGTTTTGCATGTCAAAGGTACTTCGCCAGAAGTTGAAGCAACATTCGTTCCTTTGTGTGTCGTCTATGTCTCGCAGTTGTTCAGTTCAATCCGTTGTTTAGCTCCCGTGATGGAAGTCGCCTGTTTAGGTTTCGTACCTATCGTCTAATAGTTCATGCATCGTACTCGTTGGTATTGCACTGTCAGCATTCGTCACCGTCATGCGATCGTTGTCATCGAAATTCTTCCATGTCGTGTTTGTCAGTTCTATGACATCGATGAGTATCGCTATTACCCCTTTTGGGGGATTCGTGGCTTCATCATGGTTCTACATTTTTGGCAAACATTAGACGTTCGTCCTCTAGTTCAGGTGGCATTCAACTATGTGATACGACATTAATAACAATGTAATCGACATTAAGTGCATTCTTCAATTTCGGAGTAGGTTCATCTTTCGCGAGTCGTAACCTAAAATCTGCAAACGACATAGTCAAGGTCATACTGAGTCGTTCTTGGTGTACTATATATATATATATATATACACACACACACACACACACACACACACACACACACACACATATATATATATATATATTTCCAACAATTCTTTGACCATACTAACGACAGTAAGTGGGACGTTCGACTAACGTTACCACTATCACTCTTGGTATCTCTAATACCTGCTAACTAGACCAACAGGTCAGGAGCCCTTCAACATTGTGTCTGCTAACGGCCAAACATATTTCCATGTGTCGACATCATACTTTTTTTTTCGGGTACGCTTCGTTCAGTTCATCCTGTCAGCAAGGTATGTCGGCACATAACGTCTTGGCAGATAGATTATTCATTACCTTCTCTTGATTTTCATCCAGCCAAATCACCATACTATGATGTGCTGGGAGTAGATACTACTTTCTTTATTAATCAAAGAACTTCTCCTTGTCCTTTATACGGTCATTCCCGTTTGATACTAAAATAAGTTTCCCTCATCCATTCAGGTCTGCAGCCCCTTCAGGATTTGGTTATCCATTCCGGTGATCAAATGAGGTAACCGAATATTAGACAAGATATTTTACTATGTGTACATTGTTACACTCTTTTCTTTTGTTACCTAGTATCTCGTTGTCAGTGTTTATACCAACATTCACCATATAATATAATGTTAGGTTCCATCTACAGGATGTGAATTCCTATCTTAGACTATTGCGTTTCAGTATGCACATTAATCAACAATTTACAGCTCAACATAGATATTCCAATAGTCAAGTTGACAGAGACATTCAAGCAATCAACTTCATACAAATATTTGAGCAATCAGCTCAGCACTAACTATTTGAACAATCAGTTCCATATAAATATTCGGTCAATCAGCTCCAAACTATTATTAGTGCAATCAGCTCGGTTCAAACAACTTGAGCAATCAGCTTTACACAACATTAAGTAATAAGATAATAATTCATTACCTTCCCGGGAGGCACAGATGACGTTAAGGATGCGGATGTAGTACTTGGAAATAACTTTTTCCATTGTTAAAGTTATTAAAATAATATTACTTTCACTTATTTATTTCAAAAACAATACTTTGTAATGATCCGGAGACCGATTTTAAAACCATATGCTCCGATACCAAAATGTAACACCCCAACCCGCATAACCCGAATAAATAGATTAGCGAACCGGGTTGCTACTAAATTGGTATCAACATACAATATTTCTCAATAAATAAAAACATTTAATTTAAAAACTAAAACAATTCAAACCATTTAATTTACATATCAGAGTTTATACAAACAGTGCGGAAGCCTTGTAATTAAATCAATCATTATTAAGTCCCTGCATCCATACATCTCCTTCGTCACGCTGCCTTCCAGGACATATTTCAAGGTCAACCCCTCCATGATTACCTAAGTGTAACAAGGGGAAAAAGAGGCTACACGCTCAGCAACGAAGCTGAGTGAGAAATATCTAACAGTTCGAACATACACATATGCGAACCCACGATGTTATTGTTACACTTAGGTATATTCGAACATACTTGCTTTCTTGTGTAATTGAATTGTTTTTGTTGACGTTATTCTTGTTGTTGATGTTATTGTTAATCGTCTTGTTATTATTATTGTTACATTGATGGTGTTGTTGTCGTATGACACTATTTTTGTTGTTGCGTTGATGGTGTTGTTGTTGCCATATGACACGGCTTTTGTTGTTGCGTTGATGGTGCTGTCAACACTAGCTAGATGTTACGTTGTTAACGATCCATGATAATGTTGTTAAATTCTTATGTTATTGTTGTTGTGGTTGTTCTTGTTGTTGTTATATGACACTGTTTTTATTGTTGCGTTGATGGTGTTGTTGTTGCAATATGACATAGCTCTTGTGTTGTGTTGATGTTGTTCAGTTGTTGTTCATGTTGTTGTTCTTGCTGTTCTTGACGCTATTATTGTTACGTTGTTATTAACTTTCATATATTGCAGGCCCAATTCTTTGAACTGCGTGAGGAGGCTAGATAGAATGGGCTTAAAGTCACCGACCAAGAAATATGGTACTCGCTAGTCGAGGGCCATAACGCGAAGAACTGCGTCCCTAAAGTTGGTGACTACGAGCAGGAAATGAGGAAGATCAATCCGTCCTCCAAACCTCACCATTCCAACACTAGTAGCAGCAGCGCAGCGGAGATGGCAGCACTTAAAGAGCAAAACCAAAGGCTGCAGGAACAAATTGATAATCTAACCTCGAGAGCTTGTAACTGACGATTCAGGAGGAGATAAGGAAGTTATATGGTGGTAACCTTCCTTTACGAGGCGATGATGATGGAACGAGAGGGGCAGGGCAGCCCGGGATTTGTTGAAACCTTTGACATTTAACACTAAAACTTTAATATTTAGTGTTTTTACAATATTATGAATTATGTTACATTTGCATGTGAAGTTTGTATTAATCTAGTTTTGAAATATCTATTTCGTATTGAAATCTTATTTAGAATTATGTGTGTGAAAAATTGAATGTGTTTTTCCCGCCAATTTAATAGGTAGTACCTAAAAACGATAAAAATCTGTGTGTGTGATTAGGTGATCTGCGACGGAAAAATCTGTCGCTGCTTTTGTTGCAGATCTGCAACGGCTAATTCCGTCGCTATGTCTGTCGCAAATCTGCCACGGATTTCCAATTTCGTCGCAGATTCTTGGGGTTGCAAAAAAAGACAAACCCATTGCAAGTCCGTCGCAGATCTGCCACGGATTTTTAATTCCGTCGCAGATTTTAAATCTGCCACAACTTTTCTGCGACGGAACATTTTCGTTGCAGATCCGTCGCAGAATTTGAATCTGCCACGGAATTTCAAATTCTGCCACGGAAATTGTCCGTGTCAGATCGGCAGTTTTCTTGTAGTGCACTAATTCATAATCATAACATGATATCATGCACATAGGTTTAATATCATGCAGTTCACATAAACAATTAATCATATAATTTACCTGGTACCTGCCCTTTCCATTCTCATCAAAACGGAGTGTATTTTGCAATAGTGGATCACCATTCATCTGTGCTTAAACTCTACACTAAACTAAGGACTTACTTCTTTTCAGCGGATCATGCTCAACCAACGAGGGAGTTCTCACGATTGGTGGATCATCAAGCCCTGTCCCTATAACTTATACTAGTCTAAGGATTATAACTTGCTATATGGGAGACATGATGGTTCCCACTGGATCAGCGGGTCATGCTCGACCAACGAAGGAGTTCTCCGTTGAGTGGGTATGGATCACGAGGCAGTTCAAGGATACCCGTACGTACGTTTTTACCCGGTTCGACTTAACCATTGGAGCCCAGCAGGCATCCACCTGGTTTCCCTCTGCGTAGACTTACCTTACCAAATGCGTTGGATCAACACGCGGTACTTGTTTGCTATGTGCTGGATCAGCACACTCATACTTGCAATATCATATCCAAACATATGCATTTCACATAATCACACATGTGTTGGATCACCATAATAATATTAGTTAACATAAGTGTTGGATCAACACAGAGCAATCACAATCATAACACATAGCGGCCTAGAATTGGGTATTGATACCCAAACTTACCATCATACAACACATAAGGTCTCGGAATCAATCCTTGACGGAAACACATATCAGCAGACCCGACCTCCGGTACCAGACGGTAACCTTCACGGTACAGGGTACCGTCCTCACGGTACCTGGGTACCGGTCCTACGGTGCCGGGGTACCAACCGAACCATCTAGCTCTTCCGGTAGGGCTGTCACGGTAGCCGACTACTGACTGAGCGGTAGGGCCTACCGTCCTGGCAGCAGCAAACCGTCACCTTGTGAGCCATTTTCATATATCTTAACGTCATTATTTCAGTTTGATTTCTGAACAAACGTTGTAGCCTCGTGTCTCGCAAATCCAACACATCAAACGGTTTGCAATTTCGTTGCGAAACGAAGGAGATATGGTCAAAATACCGAGACTGCGTCGGTGGCGACGGGCCTCTCGGGTTTGACTACTTTCTTTTCAATATTCTTTCCATTCCGTTCAAAACTCTTATCGTCGATTCTCTAACGATTATTAGGAACTCCCAAAGAGTATCGTAGAGAAGACCCGACGTTGGAAGCTTGAAGTTGATAGAGGTGTCCGTACGTTGAACGTTCGTTAGGGCGTATACTTTATTCCTATCACTTCCGTCTTCAACGTTATCAAGGCGAGTACATTACCCTAGTAACGCAATCCTTGGTTGAATATCAATCTAGATATATCGTTAGGATTGATTGCCATATTATAAGTCATTTATGCTTTAAGATCAAACTCATTAAAGTCATAAAGTGAAAATATGTTTTTCTTGATACTTTACTTT